GTGAGTATTTGGGGGCTTTTTGAGGCCAAAGACTGGTTAAATGAGACGTGTAATCATTGAAATGACAATGTGCTAGGTCGTGGTCGATGAATTCATGAGGCTTTACTCGGAGCCAATCTTTTTGAAATTAAAAATTTGGTGTGATGGAGAATCTTGAATGACAGCATCGTGAGCCAATTTTTTCGGTACGGTGAAATTTGGGTGAACTTGGATTTGAGACAATATTTCACTCCTAGGATCATAGATGCGGCCACATACAGGTGCTCAGACTCTTTTCTTTTCAAAGTCCTTGAGCTAGGGGAGTACGAACTGGCGAATCTTGCGCTGTATATCCCATGACTTCGAGGCCTCGTAGCTCGAGAGGGCGAAGATTAGGCATTGAAGGACGAGAGCAGTATAACCCAAAGTAAAACGATAGATCTGACTTGTCCATAGGTGAGAAGAGCGTGGGAGTTAACAAGCATGCTAGAAACGCTCTTTGATTTCTGTACCATAGCAAATTACTGGCAAAAATGATAATTTAGCCTCGACTGGGATAGGGAAAATGGCCTTGCCAGCTTTTGAGGGGCGAACAGCTAAGCTTCAGGTGACAATGCGGCCCAACAGTTACACTACATGGGGCACAAACCGCTAATTTGCGAGTAGAACAACAATGATTGTGTTCCGTCTCAGTTTGCACCTCTCGATTGCTTCACGGCTGTTATGCACCGCTGATTCGACCAGTAGATTGCGATGGGCAGCGTCGTTGGGGTGTTTTAACCGAAATATGTACGCTTGTACTTCATCTCGTGACCATATCTGACCAGTCCCCAACTTGGCTAGACGGTAGGGACGATTGGCGATATTATCGCTCAATTGTTATCGCACATGTTCCCAAATGTCTCCACCAGCTACAGTTGCGTGGTTTTATCGCTGATGCAGGTGCCCGTCGCTTATTCCCGGCCAAACAATAGCAAGTGGAGCTGGAGATGAGAGAGTGGGTCTTGTATCATGGACGGAGAAGGGATCTATTAGCTATCTACGAAATTTATAGCGACAACTAGTATCAGAAGATAGTTGATGAATGCTCCCGGATAGTAAGAGCTGATATTGAAGGTTGTTGTGATTGAGTTGAGATAATTCATTTGGTCCATATGGGCAAATTTCGGAGGTACGATATTGTAGAATCTTATACATCAAGCGGGACACTGTGATAGACTTGGTTATTACATCTTATATCTCAGTTATGTATAGCAAGCATGCTTTTATCCCCTAGCTAGACATAATTATAATAGTGATTGTGGTCGTGCTCGAGCTCGCGCTCAGTCCAACGATCGGACTCCTTACAGCTTGCAGATGTGAATCGTGTTACAAGATGGTCGATCCAGGCATAAACACTTGTACATCCAGTATAGAAAGGGCATTACCTGTATTACACCGTGCAGAGCATGTTGTTATGGTTTGATCAGCTTCGACTGTGTGTGAAGGTCACGTCGCTTCTGAGAAAGCACGTATTCAGAGTGAAGCCGGTTTTCGGAACGCAAATTCTGGCAGCTGCTGAACAAGACGAAGGTTGATGGATCCCTCTGACCCTTCTTAATCTTGCTGTATGACATAATCGTGCGCAGGTCGGAAAGGCAGCAGGCGTAGATAGGTGAACACAGTCTCTGCCGCAGGCCAACAAGTCACCTCTCTTTTCAAGATCCATGGCCTGCCTGCAATGGTCTATTTGGGCCATACCTTTGACAAGAGACAATTCCCGTCAGTAATGGCCTCATGGCGGGGCCCAACCCGCGGGACAGGGTCGAGCAACGAAAACACCATTCTCTCCCTCCTCCAGGATAGCCACCTGTTTCACGTGAGATGCGCAGACACACTCTGACCGTATACAGGGAGTTAGGCCAATGCCAGGCTTCTAAACTAATTCTGGCCCAAGGATGATCGATATGTAGTCGTCAGGTTTCTGGATGCTATCCTGATCATGTAGACTTTGAATATCTTGCACGTCTCCAATTAGATGAAAATTTACCCGTGTGAGGTAAGTGTCGACACAGCATTACTGATGGCTAGCTAAGACCGTCTGACATTGTATCTGATCACTGAACCGTCGAATCCTAGAACAGCAAGCTTAGCGTGGGAAGAGCTCACGGGAGCTAACGTATGTGCCGGCCTAGCTGAACAGCCCGGTAGACTTAGTGTGTCTGTGGCGGGTAGGAATAGCTTGTTTCCTTTTTGAACGAGATGGCTAGGAGTTTGGCGGGATAGTGCAGTGACTGGGAAAGAATCACAGGCCATCCCCTGATGCGGCCATCGTGCAAGCATCATTTCCCAGATTGCCTTCCTGCACAGACGATTTGAATATTTCCCTGTAGCGCGTGATGTATTTGTATCTGTGCCCTGTGGATTGAGATCAGCAATGCTACCAAAGAAGTAATTCCGGGGGGGGATTGTGGACCTTGACTGCTTCCAAACCGACAAGCAAAACGCAGGGCTCAGCATGACCCTCGCGCTCTAACAGGAATCGAGGTGAGCCGTCGCTCGGATCCGTGTTGAGGAGCCTATACGGCGACACATTAGATCCAATCAGCTATGTGCCTGGCATGGAAAAAGAGGGAGCGATGGAATACGATACCTTCAGTGCGCTAGATGAGATTCCGGATAGGTAGCCGATACTCTTCCCGACCACGACAACCAAGCGATACGCTAAGGGGCCTTGGTCTCTACAGTATCTACTTTTGCGCGTGATGTAGCTTTGCCTTTCTTTGGCCCCCTAAAAATCAGTGCTTTTGAAGGCAGCTAGACCAGTCGTGCGGGGAAACAAAGATTCCGCCTCTAGAAATTTCGCGTTTCAAACATAACGAAAGAGCCTGTAGCTACAATTTCCCTATTTTTAGTTTGGGGTTTGAAGTGCTAATAGAGTCAATAGCTGTCAAGCACATTGGACCCCTCTCTGCCCCAGGACAAACCTTGTAAAGTGCTTACATTCTCTTTTATAACGAAAAAAGATCTCTGATATAATTTACGTGATGGATGGCCATTTGGCTCAGCAATTACCTGTGAAGCCGGGTCTAGCAGTCTGTGGAAATTCCTACACAAAAGATTAAGAATGGTAACAGTTGAAACCGCGTGCGCAGGAAGATTCTCAGCAAACATGTAGTCGCAGTCACACGAGATGAGTATGACCATTCAGGCCTTCCTTGTAACAAAACATGCCAACTTACTCCATTCCACAACCGCCATATCGGGATCTGGGTATGCTTTGGTAATTCATCGGACGGTCTCTCCTCCCATAACCAAGGGTGAGTCATGAGAAGGGCTTCGACCCAAACATCTCAAATGATCGTAGATAGCTACATGATAATAGTGTTATGAGATGAAGAGGATAAAAATCGTGAGACTGACTGGGAATGATGCTAACCTTCTTGGCTATTTAAGACATGCAGAGCATCCATTGCGTTTATACCGGCACCGCTGGAAGGTGAAGAATTTGTCTTTGCCCGCTGTCGTGACAAGGGGAAGATTCCAGACACCAGTTGATGTCCCCAAGTCCTGGGAAAGCAAATAGTATACGCTCTTGATGGCTACAGTAATAAAAGGAGGCTCTCTCCACGTTGAAATCTGGAATTCTCGCTATAAACGGGCTAGGCCTCATGGTATCATAGTTACAGGGCCATTACTGTTGTGCTATTCTCGCCATTATCCTCGTCCCCTTCACCGCCATGCAATGGTCAAGAGAACTTCCTCAGTCCGCGGGTCTACAGCATCATCGAGTAGCCTGCTGGGTACATGTAACCAGCCCCGCACCGAGTGATTCTTATGTCTGCTCCCGTCTGCTAGACGCTGCGCCATGGACGTTTGCTTGGAGAGGGGAGGTGCTTAGGGGACAGAGGAGGGACAAATTCGCTGAAGCACGGGAATCCCTGGGCCACAAGCTTCCATGGTGAGCGCACATGAATGCCTGGAGCTCGCTTCTCGGTTGTCGGGTAGGCGGCACATATGTGAGCCTCCGCGAGACTCTGCTACACCCGTCGCGGGCCCACGTCTATAAGGGCACTCGTGCTGGTCAACGATATCGGGTCAAGTCCTGCAGCGCATCGGACATGTCTAGTGCTCTCCTTACGGACGTGTATTACATTACGGGTATGTACGTAGCTCAGCCGACCATCTGAATCAAATCCCCATATTTCTCTGCACATCCTAATGACCTACGCACGTGATAAGCTAGATCCATACGCCGCGGATTGGGATCCGGGGAATGGCGGCTACGACGAAGAAAAAACAAAGTGTCTCGTGCACCACTTCGACATCGTCCATGGCCCCATTCCAGCTCCTCGTTGACGATGCTAGGAGTCCAGCTGGCGTGCCGGACATAACAAGTATGCTGACGGCGTGTCAAAGATTCTCATTCGGGGGTAGACTGAGTGATGGCCGACACACACCACTGTGACCTAGCCACCAATAATTGCAGCTATCGATGAAATCTGCCTCTAGCACTGGCGAGCACGCGGCGGCTATGAGGCAGACCAGCAGAGAAGAGAGCCTGAAGCGGTCCGTTAGGACGCCGGCGTGGGAATCGCCCTTAAAATGCCGCTGCCCGGACTTAAAGGACTAGAGTGGGCTTGCCAGGAGGTCTGGAGGAGATGGCTGCAGACCGTCATTCAACCGCTGCCAACGCCGTACCCTCTTCTCATCAGCTTCACAGCGGCGCGACGAGGGCCGACATCAAGATGCGTCAGCTCAGCCCTTCCCGGCGGGTCTCCTGGCTCATTAAGCTTTCGCTCTTTCTTCTCGAACATCGGGACCCCGTCGACGCTACAACCACCACCTTGTCTCGTTGGTCTCGTGAGCCATCTATCCCTAAACGCACATCATGTCTAGCTCATTCCAACTCCGTGGACCTTCGAGAGCCGGTCGCTTCTAGGGTCACCGCCCGGCCCCCCAATTGCTTTTTCTCGCCCAGTATACATACCCATTTCCCCAATCCCTCTGGACCCGCTACGAACTCCTCTCGCTTCCGTTCCATGGTACGACTCGTTCCATACAACCTCCTGCCTCCGACCGGGCCCAACTTTCATCAGGTTGGTGATGATTCCATGGCCATATTCTCCCTACTAATCAGAGGCCGGACGTGCAGAAATTTCCTCGCAGCTTCCTCACTTCCCCTCAGTAAACTTCCGCACCGTCAGCAACGCCAGTCGGCCAAACGCTCCCTACATCAACATGTTCCGTCGAGTCTCTCCCCGTGCCGCGAGGCTCATGCGTGGCGGCGCGTGCCACGAGATGCGCGCACCCTTCGCCACGAGCCGGTGCGGCCTCAATGCTAATGTCTCGACGACCACTTCGGATCTCGGCCAGCCAGCCTTAGCCAGTGCGAGCTCGGGTAAGCCCTCATCAAGCTGTCGGCCACTGCAGGAGGCAACTTATCGGCAGCTACCATCGACCATGCAGAAGATGTCGCTGATGGGCAAGGTCGTTATCGTGACGGGGTAAGCTGCGTCTGTTGATCGGCGCCGGGAGACGAGGGGCCCACCGCTAACGTTATCGCGTCTAGGGGTGCGCGTGGTTTGGGCTACAACATGGCCGAGGCGTGTGTGGAGGCCGGCGCGAAGGCAATCATCATCCTCGACACCAACACGGCCCTTGGCGAGGCGGCCGTCAAGGCCTTACTCGAGGCGACCAACAACAGTGTCGCTGTCGCTTTCTACAACGTTGACGTGCGCAGCGAAGAAGATATCAACCGGTCTATGGACGAGCTCACCGCTGCTCACGGCGTGCCGGACGTGCTCATCAATTCAGCGGGCATTGCAGAGTGAGTGCGACTCTTGCGCCGCTCGTGCGCCCTCACTAATCTCTTTCTAGCTCCAACATGCCGGCCGAGACCTACGATACGAAGCTCTTCTCCCGTCTCATCGATATCAACCTCAACGGCTCCTTCCTTATGGCCCAGGCCCTTGGCAAGAGGCTCATTGAGGCTAAGAAGCCGGGGTCCATTGTTTTTATCGCCTCGATGAGCGGCGGCATCGTTAACTACCCCCAAGAACAGTCGTGCTACAATGCCTCCAAAGCTGGTGTCATCATGCTTGGTAAATCGCTCGCCGCCGAGTGGGCCAAGTTTGGCATTCGCGTCAACATGATCTCTCCCGGTGCGACATCTTACTCTCATTACAGGTCATTTGGCTAATCTGATTGAATAGGCTACATGGACACAGCCCTCAACAATGTGCCAGCCCTCGATGCGCAGAAGAAGATCTGGAAGGCCCTCACGCCACAGAGCCGGCTCGGCGCCGTGCATGACCTCAACGGCCTAGCCGTTCTCTTGGCCTCCGACTCGTCAGCCTTCATGACGGGTAGCAATATTATTATAGACGGCGGCTACACGCTTTACTGATATCTCCGCTTCCTTCCGCCCCCAATCGACGGAAGCGGTGGTCCTTTTCGTCTGAAACGAGTACGCGTCGAAATCCCGGCCAGCCGGCCCGCCTTCCGGCAGTGGTGCGCTCGGACACGTCGTACCTTTACAGTACCTGGCCTGAAACATAGCATTTAATCTAATTCCTCATATCCCCCTCTTCACCTTCCCCAGTAAAGTGACTACGTCATCCTCGTAGCTCGGTTCCAGATGTTCATCCTTGCCACTAGCCTGCTCGCACGTAACAACCCGGCTTGCAGTCTCGTCCTTCGATTTACCTCCCTTCCTTTTCCAGCGTATGCCACAACGCGTGGCTTTAAACCGCGCTCCTACCGGCAGTGGCGAATAGCAACCCCAACAGTAGTAGTATTTGATGATAATTCTTATCTCATTGTTTCTTTTGCAGAGTTTTTTAATATCTTATCTTAAATCGTAATAACTTGTCTGATAAATTAATCTTCTATCACAACTTTGATAACATGGCCGCCGTACGCCTTGACGCAAAAAGTAATTTCTTGTATCTACCTAATCCAATAGTGCTTGTGTATATGTCCCTTTTCCTGATTTTCCTTGCCTGTATATCAATCCGTTTTAATATCACGTGACATAATCGTAACCAAACTGAACCACTCGGCCATGTATTTACGCCGTCTCCCGCGTGCGAAAGTGCGCCTCACGCGTCACCGTATGGTATGCGAATCCCTCGCAGTAAGCCTCTACGTGTACCCTTGCACCCATAGCAGAGTTGTCACTTCGAAGCTTATTTTGTCTCCATTCCCCCTGGTCAAATCCTCTTTTGCGAGGCCGACACTACTAATCACCAAACGCCACATCCCCCAACTCCATAATCGTATAGCTCATTGATCGGGATGAAACTCTATAATCCCGCAGTTCTTAGCCCTAAGCCGAGCTAGCCCTCTGCCGTCTATGGTTATATTCTTACAAAGCTTGCTTCTGAGCTCTTTCGTTGGCGCGAGCGACGCGCGCCGCACAGACGAGTGGCGCGAGTGTGATTAGCTCGGCGGATTGTTTAATGAAATCGTGCTGTTGCCCAGTATTAGCCTATGAATATACTATACGAGGTAAGATGAGAATTTAACATACGCGTAGAAGGTCATGAGCACTAGCTCGTTTGTCCGGGTCGACTTTGAGAGCAAAGAAGAGGAAATCCTTGAAGGTTGGGCTCAACTCATCTTGTTGCTTTATCGAAGGGGTCCCGTTGGTAGCAATGAGGAAAAGAGCACGAAGGGGAGATTCTGTTAAGTATGGAGGCTCGCCTTCAATCATTTCGATGGCCATAATACCGAGTGACCAGATATCGACTTTACGTCCATACTCTTTGCGCGTCACGACTTCAGGTGCCATCCAGTAGGGCGTCCCGACCATCGTCGTCCGTTTATTATGGGCATCATTAATCTGAGCACAAAAGCCGAAGTCCGCTAGCTACTCGTTAGGATATATGGTGGTGGAGTATTCAGATGGGGAAACCTACTCAATTTTATGCTCCCTTCCATGGAAAGGAGAATATTGTCAGACTTTATATCGCGATGGATCACACCCTTTGAATGAAGGTGCTGCAGGCCCTTTAGGGTTTCGCGACACACGGCGGCGATTTGCGCTTCCGACATGATATTGAAGGTTACTACATCAGTCAGACTGCCCCCTTCCATAAACTCCATGATGACCCAGAGCTCTCCGAGCATTAAAAAGCTATCGATGAAGTTGACAATATTAGGGTGAGAGCTTTCCTTCATAACAATGATCTCGTTAATGATCAAATCTTTTTTGGGTTGCTGTTCGAGGTTCATCTGCTTAACGGCGACGAGGCGATTTGTACCGCGCTCGTAGCCTGTGTATACACCACCCGAGGCACCCTGGCCAATCTTGTTGAGATCCTGGTAAATTTCACGTGGGTCGCCTTCAGAACAGATTTGCTTGAGACGGGCGACGATATCGATACCCTGGCTTTGGCGTCCAGCCCGCTGACGGGGCCGGGGTCCAGGCACAGCCCGGACAGGCTGAATGGGGTGCGGAATTCCCGGTACCTCGGTTCTCGACAGGGGCGGGGGGAGAACGACAGGTGGCTGCTTTCGATGACTGGGAGCGCGTGCCAGCGAGGCCTGGTATGCTTGTTTCTCTTGTTGCTGAGCGAGCTGGCGTTGGTAAGAGGTCTGTGGGCCAGCCACGTGGGTGATGGGCGTGGAGATAGCGGCGGGAGCGCCCGTTTTGGTTGATACTGCGGCCTGTAGCACGGTCGAATCAGGAATAGGAATTGTATTAGGGTCGAATTGGTGCGGAGGCACGTAGGTAAGGGCAGGTAGGTCATCAGAGTGACGCGGCATGTCGATGCCCGAATCTTTGGTCACGAGGGGTGAAGGGATGGCTTTAGATGTGATGGATGTAGCCATGGGAGGCTTCGGAGCAGGCCGAGTAGGCAAAAGACCGTTGACATCGGTAGGTGACGAGACACGGCTAACGGCGGACGGCGCGTGTGAGCGAGGCACTGGAGGGGGCGATCGGGGATTCTCAAAACTAGTCTCATGGTTAGAGGGAAAGCGAGGACTGGTGAGAGGAGATGAGTTGGTGGTGGCGGCAGTGGTGGGCGGACTTGAGCCAGTTGAGGTTTGAGGTGAGATGCGCAGGTCGGGAGATTTTGTATGTTCAAACTTATCCCATACTTCTTCACCACCCTTTTCCGTGCTCTCTTTGTAGAAGCCAACAATGGCTGCCATGACCTGAGGATTCTCATCTTGCTCGCGTTTGGTTATGCCGCTGTCAGTGATTAGGCGTTGCCATTCCTTAGGAAGTCCCTATAAGCTATAAGTTAGGAGATAGGTAGCATCGTGGTTCAAGAAATACAACTTACGGTGAAGCGACCGGTCTGGTTGTCATAGCCAACATGGGTGACGTGAACGGGGTTTTCAGGGGAGGATATCTTGACGGAGCGGGTCGAGCCGACGCCGAAGGTTGTGGAGATGAAGCCGGAAAAGCCTGTCTTCTTTCGTAGCATGGCGAGTTTATTCGTCTCCTTGGCCTCGTCAGAAAATCGCTTGGGGGTGGTAATGTAACTCTCTTGGACGCGGGCCGGGGCTTTCTCATTCATTCTCTCGCGTGTAGATGGTAGTGGGTAACTGAGGGCAGCTTGTGCGGGCGGTGGCGGCGGCTGACGGTGATAGAGCTGGTACTGTTGGTGGTGGCGACTCGACAATCGCGAGTCCGAAGTGGAGCGGGAGAGTGTGGTAGTTGTGGGCGCCGCGTGAGGAGCCTTTGGAATGGCCGAGGGAACGGCGGGCGCCAGACGATGGCGGATCGAATGACGATAGCGCGGTGGTTGCTTAGTAAACTCGCGATGGGACGAAGAGGGACTTGGGCCATCCGTCGGCACACCCCGAGCAGCGGGAGATGAGAGGCAAAGCTTCTCCGCGAGCGGCGGGACGAGAGGACGTTCAGTGAAGGGATTAGACGAGGGCGAAGGACTTTGGCGCGCGAGTCGAGGGCCGTGAGTGCGTGGAAAGATTGGGGCGGACGGAGCTCTCTTGAGCGAGGTGGAGGAAGAGCTCGGGTTGCGCGGACTGGCGATGTCGTGGTGGCTGTAGCGAGGATCCGTCGTCCGCGTCGCAGCGCCCGATGGCAGAGGCGGGTTTTTCGACAGGCGACTACTTGACTTGGGCAGCTCCATGGATGGGCCGCGGTGGATATGACGGTGGTTTGCGGCGGACGGGGGACGAGGAGTCGGGGCGCGTTGCAATCCAATCATACGGCTACCCACGGCGCTTGGAGCACAAGCAGCTGCAGCGGAACGTCGAAACCACACCGGTCAGAGGGGGCTGCGGCCAATGTGCGTGTGCGTGCGCGTGGAACAGGGAGGAACGACAGAGGCAAAGATAATATTATTATTAGCGGTGGTGATAGAGGTGTTGATGTTGTTGGAAATGGCGAATATGATGGATGTGGTGGCGGTAGTGGTATTGTTGTTGTTGTTACTGTTATTGTTGTTGTTGTCGTCTCGGAATAAAAGAAAAGGGGAGAAACGAGAGGGGGAAAAAGGGGCAGCGGGGGGGAGGAAGAGGGGGATAAGGGGAGGGAAGAGGAGGAGGAGGAGCAGGAGGAACAATAGGTGGAGGTGGACGAGGAGAGAAAGGAGAACTGGAGGAGAAGGAAGTGGTGGAGGCGCAGAAGCTGGAAGTGGAGATGAGTGATAAAGAGGAGGAAGCGGGCGGGCGCTGGTCGTGGCACTGGTCTGGACGCTGGAGAAGGGGAAGATTGTGCCGGTGCTGAGGACCCTGGACAGTCGAGGCGGCGCCGCCTGCTCCGACCGCCCGTCTCCCACTGCGAAGGAAACGCGTGCAGACCGCATTAGTCAGCCGACACTGCACTTGATGACTCATGCGCCCGGGACTTGTCTGGCTACGACAACGAGCGAGGCCTGCAAAGCAAGGAGGCGACCGCGCGCGACCAAGGCGGAGGGCGCGCGTCCGTGGTAAGGGAGAGACTGGCAGGCAGCCGGATTGGCCGGAGCCTGCGAAGCTCCTTGGTTTTGCTGGCCCCGGCCCCGGCAGCTCGGTCGTTGCAGTGGAGGGGGCACTTAGCCTGGTCTCCCGCCCGCCCTGCTTGATGGCCCTGTCGTCGGCGCCGCTGCCAGGACCGGGGCCACGGACGACGAGAACCAGCCCAGGAAGCGGCCCAACTTCAGGCACCTTCTGCCCACTATCTGTCGCCGGCCTCACCACGAGTACTCGCCGCCCCTATCTCCACACCGGCAGTCTCCCGGCCCAGTGCGAGTGTCTTCGCCGCTCCCTTACCCGGGCCGGGCCTCCCGTCGCGCCTTCTTTCTCCCATGTCCGCGGCGCTTCTCTTTCCTTCCTGCTCCAGGGATCCAGCGCGGGGCCTGCTGATTCCTGTGATGGAGACGACACTTCAAAGAGACCTCCTGATCCGATTAGGAAGAAAAGAGCTTCCTACGTCGCCTCTTAGCACGCCGGCTGCTCCCGCGCCAACACCTCAAATAATGGTAAGCCTAGCCCTTGCTTTACCCCAGATTGCCGAAGAGGGCCTGCCTCTTCTGCATTGCGCCATTGAGGTATCTTCGACCCGTATAATCACCTCCGCCGAACCCCAAGTCGCCTTCCCTGCCTCGCTACCAAAGGAGAAGCCTTGAGATTGTTGCTTCCCTTCGCAACATTGCTTGGACCTAGAGTGAAGACAAGTGAAATGACGATACTACCTGGTGCAGTCGCCATGCTCAATGCAAGCCGCCAGTAGAAAATTATTTTCTGCGGTCTCTATTCATGTGGATAGTTGGAAGCTAGCTCAATGCCGAAGCTTTCATGGCCGTTATAGCCCAGCCCGTTATCCAGATCGCTATCTGGCTCGGCAGGCTTGAGAGGGAGAGGCCAAGGTAGGTAGAGGTTCAGTTAGCACCGCCTGCTTGGCTAATCTGTCAATAAGCTCATTGCCTTTCTAGTCGAAATGGCCCAACACTCACTTAGCTGGCCTGCTGGACGCCACAATATCCGAAATAATAATTATTATAAAGTCGAATATACTGGCGTTGTCTATCATCATACTGCTGCAGTCTCGTTATGAAGGTAGTTTTGGTTTCCACTCAGCTTAATCGCGGGCCAGAGTTTTCTAGAAAACTAACTGGCCTCCAATCCTGCATGAGTTTCTGCGTCGTAAACCTCTACTTGGACCTGCAACGCTTAGTTTTACCAAGTCTACAAAGGTAGCCTCTCTCCCGACATACATCTCTTTCATTATCTTCGAGTCGTGCGTTTAAGCGATCATATCCTTTGATGGCTGTAACTCGCTCATTATTGGACCATCTCACTAAAATCTTGTTCGGCGTTACAGCCCACATAATGCTCTATGACACGTAATCCATCTGTCGAGCCCCATCTTGCATTGCAGATGCACGTCACGTGGTATTCTAGAATGAAGTTGAGCATGGTGTGCATCCTTCACTCGGGCCCTTACTCCTGGGTTAGGTCAAGGGCGCTTGGAGCTCGCATGCCGACGGCACAAAGTCATTTGGCCTCTAGTTGTACTTTCGCTCGTGTCATTCCTATCCCTTGCTAGAGGACAGGGATGGACGCCGTTCGCCACAAAGGCGTAATCGCCACAAAGGCGTAATCGCCACAAAGGCGTAATCGCCTAGAAATCTATGCATATAACATCGTTCAATCGTCTGTCAATAAATACCCTCTGCGTGTGGACGATTCTATCCGGAGTTGGTTTGTGATGACCAAGCTATCATATTTTCATATCACAGTCGGCGACTGGTATCAGTTTTTTTCCTAAAATTTTGACATTCTAGCAAAATGACAGCTAGCTCCTGCACGCTCAAGATTGTGGATAATTAAAGACGCTTTTCATAAAATTGATGTTCATCGCCCTTATACTAATGATGTAATGCGGCCACTCCCATATATTGTTACGTTAGATTCTTCTCTTGCAAATGATTTGGAAGTCAACTAGCAGGGACAATATCAAAATGACATGTCATATCGTGAGTGAGGAAAGAGGCTAGCTCCTCGGATTTCACCAGCTCCTGCTTATGAGCTAGACGCGTATCCAAATAAGCTGCATACCATTAAAGGGACGTCATATCTCCTTAGATATAAAAGACTGGTATTGGACTACACATTTGAACGCTCGATGGCTCTTGCAATCTTTACTTAGAAATCATATTCACATCTACAAGCCGGAATATGTCAGTTCTAGTTTGCTGTCGGTAAAGGTGTAGACGCAAGGGATTTTACGCTCACCAGAGGCCTCATGACATTCAATGTCGATAACAGAAGAGCGTTGCATGCGAGCGACATTTAGTCATGGAATTGCAATCTCAATAGTTTCTCGTATGCACCGCAGGGCTATGAAGGCATGGCGACTCTTGGTTCGTGATCCGAGTTTTGGTCATGGCGCTCTCCCATATTTGTCCCCACTGCTGATATGCCTGTTTTTTCCATGGTGACGATGAATTCTCAAAAATATGTGAGCCTTGTACAGGCACTTCCCAGCTTGACTACTGCGGCAATCATGTCTCTGCCTGCAGCCTTCGGCAGTGAGCTATGCAAGCCGGATGCCATGCTACTTTAGGGTCATTTGGTGGAGTGGTATCAGCTGCACGTCTTCACAGACTGCAGATCTAGGCTCGGCTTTCTGCGAAGTAATTAAGGGGTTCACATTGCATTATTCTGGAGGTTGAGTCATAAAAATTTGAGTCTTTACTTGGGGTAAAATAATTATGACACCAAAAGATCCATCTAATCAGTTCCTTAATCTACGGGTTAACTTCCAATGTGAATATTTTAATTTTATGCTTATTGATTCTGAGGGCCAGGCTCAAACTTAATTTGTAAGTGTCATGGTAGCCTCCTCGAGTCAATTACTTCACCTAAATATTAAAAGCTCTATCAATTGTTGACTTGTCTAAAGCAACTGAGTCATCGGGGAGCTTAGAAATATACCAAGTTTATGGCTAGGTCTAGAGGTTTATCGTATTCGGTTTAGATGGAACGGGTTTCGATACGGACTCTCTGATCTTGCAAAAGGTTTACTAAGTGTGATTAATCAGACCCAGAATTAAGCGATGCTGCAATTGTGAAATAATAATGGCCTGGAGGCTGGCTAGAACGGTTACAACAAACCTTGAAGTTCGGATTATTATCAAATTACCACAAACAGCTGATCATAACATATTCGCAAAAGACTTGCCACTCATAGCGCGACTCCTTGTGCGCCGAATTTGTACACGATTAAAAACGCTTATTTATTCCTCTATCAAATCATATTTGAGCCAGGAAATGCACAAAATATATACTTCCAAAATATTTTAAGGTAAAAGCAGATTAAGAAGAGTTGGAACAGCGATTTCACCTCTTCGGCGGGGTAGTGATAAGATGTATTTGCCTCGATACCGATTGATCTACCGTCGCTCCAGTCAGATTATCTAGCATGATAATTCGTATAATGGACTTTTAAACCTTTTGAACTTGTACTTCAGTGGCCATATTTTCCATGCCCAAAATGTGAAAAGTTATCCACAAGATAGTTTTGGGCATGACTGAGATGAAACTTCGGACATCACACAACACTAAATACAGTCGGATTTGATCCAAAACATCGGCCAAGATCAGAGAAGCTGCCAAGTTCCGAGACGTGCCGAGCTTACATACCCCAAAGTTTATACTTATTTGAGATATCAATCTCTTGAGTACTGAGTATCTTCATTTCACACAAATCCTGAGAGCGATGAAAATTAGACATTCTGGATACTTCAATTTAATTAATTCTAGACTCAGGCGTGTCTTTCATTAGTCTAAAGTTCCAAGCAAATGTAATCATGGTCTTTATAACCTCATCTCACTTCAACCCATCAAATTATTGACGGCTATCTTTGGTACGCGCTGACTTTGAGGTGATCGTAAAGATGGTGCAAGCCAGAAGTTTCATCTCGTCAAATGCTCGTCACGTGTGTAGCACAATCTACTTGTTGGATAAACCGACTGACCTTCCGACTCCAATGAAGGGAACGACCCCTGGATGAGATGAGGAGATGCTGGGATGAGACATGGCTGGAACTGATTGGAAAGAACAAATTAGGGATCGGGGGGATGTCAAGGGCTCGGGCGCGTAGTGGCCGAGGCTGAGAAGGAATTTGCGCAACGGCGTATATATAAGGGGTTTCTGGAAGGACAAGCTTGGTATGATTCAACACAAAGGCGAAGTCTTAGGTGGTCCGGTCATTTAGGTGGG